TATAGACACGCATAGTGTTCTCTGTAAGCCTCAGATACCACTGTTGTGTCATTCGTCGGTTCTCCGTTTCTGTCCCTCAAGGAGAACGCAGATGGCTTGTTTCTGCGGCGATGTCTCATGTACTTGAACAGTACGTTTTTGTTTTTTCGAGCGAGGTCCAGAATGGTGGCTTGTTTTCGTATGTTCCATTGGCGGATTTCCGACTTACAGCGATTCCGCATTTTACGAAATGCCAGCTCATCTTCTGCGTCCCCTGTGGTAAACGATGCACCTTCGCTAACGATTTACCGTTACTAATGACTCGAGATTCCTGCCCCCACTCACTAGAGACAACTCAGAAGCTACTGGTTTATTGGATCTGCAGGGCTTGCGCGAGGGCTTGGATCAGTTCAGTTTCAATTGGCGTTTTGTTTTTTTGCTCCAATATGGTCGGCACCGCTCAGCCACATTTCGTTTTCCCTTGCTAGCCGGGCTCCTCGAAAAATGTCGTCGGCACAGATGCCAATAAAGTTTCAAGAACATCTCCAGGTAATCTGATTTGTTTTTTGACAACACTTCTTTTCAAAGCTGGCTAGTCTGGGTATTCAACCGAACAACATCGGGTTCAGCACCCTCACTATGGAATCTGACAAATTTATCTGCATACGGGAGAAAACCGGTGATACATCACAAGTTGTCATAATAGACATGAATGACCCTATGAATCCTACTCGTCGCCCAATAACGGCAGATTCCATTATAATGAATCCGGTCAGCAAAGTAATGGCTCTAAAGGCTGGAAAGGTCCTCCAAATTTTCAACATTGAGCTCAAGAGCAAGATGAAATACCACACCATGACTGAAGAGGTAGTATTTTGGAAGTGGATATCTGTCAACACCATTGCGCTGGTCACTCCTACTGCCGTGTATCATTGGCCGATGGATGGAGAGTCCAGTCCTGTGAAAATGTTCGAACGTCACTCCTCACTCGGCCCAACTTGCCAGATTATCAACTACCGGTGTGATGCTACCCAGAAATGGTTGTTGCTCATAGGGATTTCAGCACAGGATAAACGTGTAGTTGGATCTATGCAACTTTACAGTGTTGACAGAAAAGTAAGTCAACCCATCGAAGGCCACGCGGCAGCTTTTGCGAACTATACCCCTGAAGGCAGCACAACACCCACGACCTTGTTCTGCTTTGCTGCTCGAAATGCTCAGGGCTGCAAATTACACATTATAGATGTTGGCCAGCCGGCTGCAGGTGGACAACCGTTGCCGAAAAAAGCTATTGATGTGTACTTCCCTCCCGAGGCCCAGAATGATTTCCCGGTTGCCATGCAAGTGGGTTCTCCTAGTTTCGCATTAACTTGTGATTTCAGACATCCGCAAAGTACGATGTTGTTTACCTAATCACGAAAAACGGTTACCTCCACGTTTATGATCTCGAAAGTGGCACGTGCATCTATATGAACCGCATTAGCAGTGAGACCATATTTGTAACCGCTCCTCACGAGTCCTCCGGTGGAATTATTGGTGTAAATAGAAAAGGACAGGTGAGTTGAACATTCCAAACGCCTTACTGTTTTTGAATTCAGTTAGTTTCACGCAGCCCAGCGTGTGACAGCTTGGGTTGTTTTTTAAGCGGTGCGTAGTCTTCAAACCGCACGCTATCTGTGTGTTGAAGCACAGCTTACAGGGGCACGCGATCCAAAGCCACTTCCTTCGGTTTAGGAACATTGGAAAGATTAGTCTTTCTACTCTATTGAAAAAGGCTCAGAGTAGATCGGGGTGTCCTTCCAGGGACACTGTAAACAGTCGGTTTATTTATGGCTGGCATTGTTTTCACTTTCGACGCGAAGTGTGTAGGTTGCCAGATTAGTAGTTTTCCAAGACAGGCAGGGGACCAATCAGCTGCTGAATCTTTGTTCCCTAAGGATGAGCAGATTGAAGGAACCGATCAGTAACTTGGGTCGTCTCTATCCTGCACAAAGGTCTGCGAAGAGGATGGCTTGCCTCGTAGAAGTTTCGAAAGAGAGAGAGAGAGAGTGAGCTTGCCCAAATGTCATTTTGCATGCTTCAGCATTACTGGTCCTTGATGTTGCTGCTGGAGAAATGGTTCAGTGGTTAGGACGCTAATTTACCGACCTGAAGGTTCGCTGTCCGAACTCAACCCACACATTTCGATTGCTCCTGTTTGGGCTTTGCAGCCTGACGTATTCTAGACGTAGTAGCGTGTTAGCTAGCCACGGAATGTTGTGACTGAACGACTCCCACCATACCCATGCCATGCTTCGGTTGCACCGTTGGTCAGCTATGGTCTTCGTAGATCTATGCGCAGCGTTCACGCTTTTGATCCTACAGTAAGCCGGAGCGGACCACGGCGTTGTTCACCTATATAGACAGTCAAGCTGGTTTTCTACCCTTGTAGAGTGCATTCCATGACCACATCGTTGTCACCATCGACAGCAAAACGAATGTCTAGCGCTGATGCTTCGCTGTCGTACAACCATTTATTTGAAACTTTCATTTTAAGGAAACAAACAAACGAAACTCATTCCAAAGTGCCTTTTCTCCGGCCACTCAATCCGGATTGAAACTCACAGGAATGACATCGGTAGCGATTAGCAGCCACATCTTTCAGCTTCCCCAACTAGACGTAGTGGGCCGGCCGTTATCCTGGAGGGCGAGTTGCGCATACAGACTTTTCATAGTTATATTCATACCCCTGCGCCAGGTCAAAGGATGAATCGGGTTCAGAGGTGTATCAGACAACACTTGTTCATGCCTGGGTCTTGTGCGCGTTTCAGATACAACATACACCAATTCTAAGGTAATTAACTTCTCGCCAAGTATTACCTGTTTCACAATTTGACATAGAGTATGGATGTTCAAAGCTTCTATTAAGAGAAAATTTAATGGTTGGGCAGTTTTATCTTGCTTCGTGTTAATAGGCAACAGAGTGTTTTTTATGCATTAATGACTTCAGAAGCAGTCCGGCCCAATGGTGTCCTCCGACGGCGCACAGGCCACGAACTGGAATCGATCACTTTACCATCATTTACCCATGGCATGGATAAATGACTGACTGCCGGTCGCTTTGGAAAGCACTTATGGATTCCGACTACACACTTGTCCTCACTCCCCTCGTTTTCCAGTGTCGCGTAAGTTGCGGACGAATTGCTTGGCAACTGAGGAACTGGCAAATCCGGATGTTAGACGAACTTACCAGAATCGTATTCTGGAGCCTCTTCCAAATGCACCACCGTCAGATGTGAACTCATACTGAGACGAGATTGCCATCTCTTTGTATAGTGCTGGAAATTTTGCCTGTGGTATGGCACCACTAGACTCACTCAACCACTGGATATCGGGCCGAACTTTGGCACTGCTCAAGTCTCAAAGAAATACACTAGCTCATCCCAAACATGACTTTATGCGACGAATTATGAGACACCAAATGAGCGTGCGAACCGATCGTTGTGGACACAGAAAGCTAAAGAATGGAAAAGGCCCAGAAAGCCTGGAACGCCCCAAAATGACTTCAGTTGATCCGGGCGATCGGTCCCCAGAAACCCCCTGTGAGTGAAACCATCAAAGATCGGGAGTGACCATTTTGAATAAAGAAGAACTCCTCAACATTTGGGTCGAATACTTCGAACAACAATTGTCTAGCTGCCACTTATCTGGAGTCCACAGGTGAGACAACCCTGGATGGTGAACATGGGGCCCCTACGGTCATAGAGGTTCATGATTGCAAATGTTCTCTCAAGCGCCACTCAGGTCCTGGTCCGGATGGCCTCCCACTTGCGTTGTTCAAAGATGTGTGTGGAATTATCTGTTAGCGCTTGTCTGATCTGTTTGCTTGCATTTGAGTAAAGAAGACTGTCCCAGACACCTGAGGAGAATCGATGATAGTGCCCATTCTCAAAAGGGGCTCATAGTGAGAGTGGTGACCCCGGTCGTAACGAAACTGTTATTGTCAGTTATCCCTCGTCGCCTTGCAGTGGTTCGTGAAACACTGGCTCAAGATTCCGGCTTGATAGTCATCATCATTGAAAGCATGACATTGTTGTTCAACACCGATACTTCACTGCCCTACAACCATGATTTATTTAGAAGCCTTATTGTAAAAAAGAATAAGGGTGGACGGAAAAGGAGTTTAGTGCTAGTTTCCTAGAATCATTTCGAGGTACCTACACATCCAGACAGTCATTCAGGCATTCTGACAAGAAGAACGCCATTGACATTAGCATCCATATCTCAGCGTCTTCAACCAGCGCAGTGGGGATCACAACTTCCCCATCCTGGAAGGCGAGTATCACTGACAGTACCCAAACGTTTCATAGTCTCTTTCACACCCCTCCACCAAATCATCGATTGGTCCCCTCTGCTTCCGCAACTCTGAATTGGGCAAATCGTGGTTCGGCATACACATTACTTAACCTAACCAGTGCAGCTTCTGGTGCTAGGCACCTTCGAGGGAAGTTTCCGTTGCGTAACCTAAAACTCTCTTTCTAATTGCCGCGTTACGGATACGCTACCACCGACCCACACAAGGTATGCTTCTGAGACAACGGTTGTCGAACACCTGAAGACGTCTCACATCCGCTGCTCCAACAAGCCAAGTCTCACAGCCATACAACAAAACAGGCCGCACTATAGCTTGATCCACACGTTCCTTGAGATTAATGGGTGCACTACTCTGACACCATATGTGTCTCAAATTAGCAAACGCGACCCGGATCTTGCAGATTAGTGCACCGACTTAATCTGCCACACTACAATCAGAACTGTTACAACCTCCAAGATATGTAAAACACTCCACAACTTTCAGTATCTCCCTGGATTTTAAGTGGCGCCTTCGGTGACTGCACGTCCACGAGCATGACCTTACACTTTGGGTGCAAAGTGCATACCAAAGGACGGGATGACTTTGGTCACTTCATCCAAAAACCTGCGTCTCCTCTTCGAAGATGAGAACGATGTCGTCTGCGTACTCCAGATCGACAAGGTTTTCTTCACAGGCTGTTTGAACACCAGGGTTTTTAGAGACCTTACAGCGTTCGTCTCCTCGTCTCATCGATCACGAAGTCAAAAAGGAATGGAGAGATGGGGCATCCCTGACGGATACCACTTTATGTACAGAAGCTTTTGGAGATCCCTCCGTATACTCTTACACGTCCGGAAGTCTGAGAATACAAATAGCATATCTTTACAAACTTCCGGGGCATTTCTTGGTGGGCAAGTGTGTCGAGAAAAACAGACCGATCAACCGAGTCGAATGTGCCTTAAAATCCAGAAATGTTAGAATGGTGGGTCGCATATACGTATGGCGTTGTTCTAGAACCTGACGGAGTGTGAAGAATCCGTCAACGCAACCCATACCAGACTGGGAATCCCGCTTGCTGCTCTCGAGTCAGCTTCTCCCAAGCCACAGTGAGGCGACGCCAGCAGTCTCGATACGACCGGGTCAAACTGATCCCCCTGTGGTCACCACACACTACGAGCCCCTTTTTTGAAAGTGGGCACTGTCACCGACCCCCCAATTGTCTGGGACATACTCCTTTCCCCAAATGCAAACAAAGACCAGACAAGCGTTGACTGAGAACATTACCGCCGTCTTTGAACAATGCGGGTGGGAAGTCATCCGGACTAAGAACTTGGTGGCGCTTGAAAGAACATATACAGTCGTAGACCTCCGAGACCGTAGGTGGTTTTACGTTCACCATCCAGGTATCTACGTCACCTGTGGGCAGAAGATGGGTGCCAGCTGGTGGGCATGACAATTGTTGTCCGAATTATCCGACCCATCGGTCGAGGCGTTCTTTCACTCCATTCCGATCCCTGTTCGCTTACAAGTGGTTTCTGTGGATCGGTCGCACGGATCGACTGGAATAATCTTCTGGCATTACCGGCTTTCTGGACCTATCCCATATCTATGACTTTCTGTGTTCATACTTCATGGTCGGTTCGCATGCTCACTTTCACTTGACTTTTGATAATTCTTCGTACCGGATGGTGTATTTCTCTGAGACTTAAGCAGTGCCAACGTTCGGTTTCATACCCGGTGATTGAGTGAGTCTAGTGGTGTCGTACCACAGGCAAAATTTCCAGCACTATGCAAAGAGGTGGCAATCTCTCCCCAGTATGCGTTAACATCTGCTGTTAGAGCATTTGGAAGAGACTCTAGAAGACGGTTCTGGTAAATTGGTCTAGCATCCGGATCTGGGAGTTTCTCAGTTGCCAAGCGATTCGCCCGCACATCAGGGAAATGTAGGCAGAAACGACTCCGGACGAGTGCGTCGTCAGAATCCACAAATGTGTTTCAAAACGGCCTGCGGTCAGTTATTGATCCGCGCCATCTGTAGCTAATGGCAACGTGATCGATTTGAGTTTGTGGCTGGTATGCCGTTGGAGGACACCATGTGGCCAGACAACTTCGGATATTTCGGAAGTTAGTACTACTACTACAGCTTGCGATCAGCACACAGCTGAAGCAGTCATTCACCATTATCCACACGTACCGAGTCCAATCCTTGTCGACCTAATTGAGTCTCAGATGAACTAAGCCTGCCCACGTATGCATTCATATCTCCGGCAACTACCGAGCTTTTAGCTCGCCTCAGCAGGACATTCAGGGCGTCGTGAAACCTGTCTTTGACGGCGTCGGAGCTACAGTCGGTTGGGGCGTAAGCAAACACGGTTAGCGGACATCTATCAATTTCCCGCCTGAGGCTCTTTAACAGAGGTTGCCAGATGAACTACACAGAGGCGACTATCAACAGGTATCCAGTCAAGCAAGGATACATCCGGCCGGTGAATTAGGACGATACCAACCCCTTCACATCCCGCCGTAGCAGCCTCTGGATCACCGGAGTTGCGCAGCCGGAAGCGAGCGGAGACTGATGGGACAGTTATTTCAATCACTGCTTGTATTTTGAATTCTCGTTTCTGAGGCACAGCACACATCAATGCCAAGCGAGTCCAGTGTGAGTGCAAGAGCAGCTTGTTGTCCCGCTTGCTTCAGAGTGCAGACGTGGAATGCAGCCAGATAGACTGGGTGCCGAGGCTTAAAGATCGATTCGGGGATACCTGGGGATGTCGGCGCCATGTGACGAGCATATGTTGTGCGCAGAGCCGATGCATGACAAACGGAGTCATCGGTCCTAAGTGCTGGGCCTACAGGAGGAGAGCTATCAGTGAGGTAGGCAGAGGAGGAAGAAAAAGTATGTAAAAGTGAAAGAAGGGAGGCGTCATCAGTAGCCTGTTTTCTTATACCCGCCTTGCTGTATGCAGCAAGTAAGGTACAGGAGGATATCAGTGAGGTAGGCAGAGGAGGAAGAAAAAGTATGTAAAAGTGAAAGAAGGGAGGCGTCATCAGTAGCCTGTTTTCTTTCTTACGCCTTGCTGTATGCAGCAAGTAAGGCGACCCGGCTGATGGCACCACAGACGGCCGATGTGGCATGAGTTTATTTGTGTGTGTGCAGTTCATGGTTGTACGTGGGCTGAGATACTGTCAGGGCACCCACACCTAGACAGGAGGACGATTAGGGTCCTCAGTCAAAGCCCCTGGTTCAAAAGCCTAACCGCAAGGCAGCGGTGTTTGGCGGGAAATGCAAATGCATTACCATTTCAATGGAACGAGTCGCCACATGTTCCAACCCTTAACCCGGAGGTCCAGAAGATTGTGATTTTCAGACCTCTAGTCATTGACAAACGTGGTATGAGAGACTGAGCTTCGCGGTGACATCCTCAGTATGGCTCAATGGATCGCTGAGGTGCGCAAACCGTCACACCACGGTAAGGTTCAGTCTCTTCTTTACGGTCGGCCTGGTAGGGGTTGCATCGACCAAATCTTCACACCGCCAGGTTCTAGAACAACGCCGTACGTATAAACGAGATAGTTCAGTGTTTAGAGCGCGAATTGACTGAACCGAAGGTTTGTGGTTCCCACCCGACCTCTGCCTGTCGACTTCCCCCGACTAGGCTTGGGCGACTTGACTGCATCCCAGCCCTCTTGCTTCCTTGTGGTGGCATGGCAGATAGACACCGAAAGGGTACGACAGTTAAACGATGACTAAGCCCCTTCCTCACCCGTCTTTATTTCTTTCTTCACAATAAGGCCCTCAAATAAATGATTGTACAGCAATGAAGCAGCAGTGTTGTACACTGATGTCATGCTCTCGATGATGATCAAGGTTGTAGGGTGGGAAGGATATCGGTTAAATAAGTGCGCGTAAGTGATTCTTCCCGGTTGCCGAGGCTGAGGAATGGTTTGGTTGAGGTACCCCATTTTTCCGACCTAAAGCTGCCACCTTGACGTGGTGGTCGGGCTTCAGTGCTGCAATGATCCTGCGGGCTACACTGGCTGGAACTTCGTTCCACAAGGTGCAACCATGCCAGGAAGGCCAAAGGGGAGCAGCCAGACCAAGAGCAGCGAGACCCCGTACTACGAGTAATCGTGCTACGAGGCGGTCTGGGGGTAAAGTCGTACTGTCCTCTGCGACAGGAGTGTGAAGGCAGTAAGGTGTTTCCCCCAGGCGACCAGCATGTCCATATTTATGG